TTTTTTTTTTTTTTTATTTATGAATGATTTTTAACTATTTATAAATAATTTTTTTTGTTTTACTATTTATAAATATGGTATCACTGAACGCCAAAGGCAACTGTCGATCATTTTACTTCTAATTTAAGTTAGATCATCAAACTTTGATGTTTTAACTTCTAATTTTTTAATTATCTGTGTGAAATAATTAATAAAATGAATTTTAATAATTTTATTTTAACTCTTCATTTAAATAATTTAATAAATATTTTAAAAATTCATTTTTTACTCCGCAAAAGTGTGCAAATTATGATAGAAACATTATATTTCAACAACAATAAAATATTGTTTATCATATATTCATATTTGAAATTAAGGAATTATAATTAATATGACGAGGAAGCTCAAGATCTTTAAGCCACAATGACTAATTGGAGTAATCAAAATAAAAGATCATATAACCTATAATTATATCAAATTACAATATTATCGATCTACAATCTTCATATAAATAAATTTTTTGTACGAAAGAGGTTAATTTTATTCCCACAAAAAAAGAATAACCATTAACGTGTTTAAAAAATCATAAATTATTGCCATCAGTATTTATATTTCTGATTAATAATTTAACAATATTCTAAAAATTTTATTGTAACAAAAATTTCTTTATAAAATTTTAATCAAATAAAAATTCATTGTATCTCAGTCCTAATACAATAAAAGCAAATAATATTATTGTGAGGTTTAATCTAGATCCTAAAAAAAAAATTTTATTAAAAAAAATTTCTTTAGTGATGGATTTAATTTAAGGTAAAAGTACTCTCATATTCGTAATATTAGATTTTTGAAAGTTTCTCCATTTGTTTGAATTAATTATTTTTTTTAAACGGTGATTTGTTTGTTGATCACCGATATTATTATGCATAATGATCAAATTCAAGAAAAAACAATATATAAAAATGAATACCTTTTGGCTATGTACCGCGTAATACTACTTTATAATAACGAATTAATTGATTATTTAAAATCATTAGGTAAATTTTTTCGAACGGAATGCGCTACCCATGTCTTCAAAACAGCCTTATCAATTTCATTTTGTTCATATATCATTGATAAAGGTTCAATTGATTCATTGTAATCAGACTTCTTTAAACTAGAACTGTTTATATTATCTATTCTTTATAATTTCTAATCTTGTTTTCAAGTGATTCTTGCCAGTAGCATTTAGTTCCAGAACAACCATTAGCAAGATATTATAGTGATATACGTCCATTTATCCTACGTACCCAATACTTTGGACAATAATTGCAGTTGCGATATCCATCATGTACTGTATATCAGATCTATTATTAAAATTATTTATTTATGAGTCACAGTAAATCAAACTTTATGATATTAATAGTGCAGTAAATCTGTTTTGAAAATATTATTAACATTTGCGTCTATTACACTACGTTTTGGATCGGTTCATATGATCGCCAATTCTCACTTCTACTTCTTAGAACATGGATTACTCAATGAAGCCTAAAATAGTCTTTTTTTGTGTACATGTTTCACGTTTTTCCGCATATCTCAAATTTCGAGCAAGAGGACATCATGAAAATTAATTAATGTAAATTATAATTTAATTATAAAGAACCCTAATTGTCATAATTTTTTAAAAATTGTAACGAAAACAAAAGTATTGTAAAATTAAAAAAAATCGCTTTTTTTTAAAAAAAAAATAATATTTCTACGGCATCCTATAAGTGAACAATTATCTGACTAGGTTGCACGGTTGAACAGCTTTACCATAATGACGAACACACTGTGTATATTAAATATTACCAGTTTGCTAGTATTGTCCTACTATAAAATTATAGAGTACCGAATTTTTAATAGTAAGCCTATAATTTTTGACACATGATGTCATATTTTCGTAAAACAGTTTGTGCTTAGATTTAACATTATTATTTTATAATTTTATAGACCAATTTATATTTAAAGACAATTATTTATCATATTTTGTGAATTTTCCACATTAAACAATAAAGTGAAATTCAAATAGTCTCGAAGAGTACTACAACAAATAATTTTTTGCTCGGCGTCTAACAAAAAAAAGAAGAAATATAGTCTTTGAAAAAAAAATTAGTATTATATTTTTATTTAATATTTATCAATACCTGACTAATTCCGTAATTCTAAATCTCGTTGAAAAGCTAAATTTATGAATGTATAATAAAAAATAATTTATTTTTGCGTATTTAAAGAATGTATAGTTCAATTTTTTAAATAAAAATTATTCATTAACAATTTCTTTTACAGTGATGATATTAGTAAAATTAAAAAAGGATTTTTAACATTAATTAATGCTTCAAATTTTCTAATTTACATGGAAAACTTCACTTTTCCAAATGCTCCGGAACCAATTTCTTGAATATTTTTTAATTTCAAATTTAGTATATAAAAATGACGTCTGCTGATCATTTGACGATCATCTCCAAAAAAGGAACAACGTAATTTTTGACGAAAAAAAAAAATTTTTAAAATAAAACTTAATATAAGCTTCGTATAGCCTTCAAATTATAACTTTTAGGTAATTTTGACTGCTCTACAAATTTACTTAATATCTTAAGAAAGGTTATAAATACCATTTTTGAAATTTATGACTTGGGGTGAGAAATATCGAATCTCACCCGGGGTGAAGAATAAATTCACCCTTAAATTTATTCTTAATCATATATAATAAGATTTTATAAACTTTTTGAACGAATGAAATTATGAAATTAATTCAATCAACATTTGATTTTTAAAGAAATTATAAAGTATTGTTGCTAGGCGAACAAAGTTTATTACTATATTGATTTTTATTACTTGATATACCTGATAAACCTTATATTTAGTACTTTACCTTGTGGGAAAATAATTGAAGTTCAAAACTTGGTTATCCTTTAACCTTTATTTATAGATTTTTTTTTAAAAAATCTTGCTAATATAAAAAAATTAACAAATATAAGAATATGCATAAACATCTAAAGAGCAAATATGAAATGTAATATAAATTTTATAAAAGTTTATAAAGGGATAAATTAGTAAAATAAAGCTTTATATGTCTTACTACACAAAGTAAAACATTAGCTTAGCAATATAATAATACAGTCAAAGTTCTCTATAACGAATCCCACGGGCCGGAGATTAAAATTCGTTATAGTAAGAAATTCGCTATACTAAAAGCCATTTTATTATAAATACTAAGATCTGTACCTGAACTTTTCTTCATTATAGCAAATTATTCGCTATATAAAAATTCGCTATAGAGAACTTTGACTGTAATGGGTTAATTATTGTTTAACTAAATTCTTGTCATAAGTAAAGTGTTTGTAATTATAAGCAACTATCAATTATAATGAAAAATTTTTATTTAATATACTAAAACAAATTTAAAATAATTATTATAGTTATAGATATGTTATTAATTTATTTTACATAAATTGTTCTTTTTAAGTTTTTTCAACTTGTATTGAGCATCTTGATCTCCTTGTTCAGCAGATTTTTCGTACCAATAAATTGCTTTATCTATATTTTTAACAATTCCCTTTCCATATTCATACATCATAGCAAGATTATATTGTGCTGACTCATGTCCTAAATCTGCAGCCTTTTGGTATAATTCAAATGCTTTTTTCATATCAATATCAGTTCCAATTCCTTTATTATAACAAATTCCTAAACCATATATTGCATCAACATTTTCCAAATCTGCTGCCTTCTGACATAATTCAAATGCTTTCTTCTTATCAATATTAGTTCCGATTCCATATGCATAACAATATCCTAAATTATTCATTCCAGTTACATTTCCTAAATCTGCAGCCTTTTGATATAATTCAAATGCTTTTTTCTTATCAATATCAGTTCCAATTCCTTTACTATAACAAAGTCCTAAATTATATATTGCATCAACATTTCCCAAATCTGCTGCCTTTTGATATAATTCAAGTGCTTTCTTCTTATCAATTTCAGTTCCAATTCCATTTTCATAACAATTTCCTAAATCATTTATTCCAGTTGAATTTCCTAAATCTGCTGCTTTTTGATATAATTCAAATGCTTTCTTCTTATCAATATCAATTCCAATTCTATTTTCATAACAACTTCCTAAATTATATATTGCTGATGAATTTTCTAATTCTGCTGCCTTTTGATATAATTCAAATGCTTTCTTCTTATCAATATCAGTTCCAATTCCATCATCATAACAATGTCCTAAATTATTTATTCCTAATGAATTTCCCAAATCTGCTGGCTTTTGATATAATTCAAATGCTTTTTTCTTATCAATATCAGTTCCAATTCCTTTTTCATAAAAATGTCCTAAATTATTTATTCCAAATGAATTTCCTAAATCTGCTGCTTTTTGATATAATTCAAATGCCTTTTTCTTATCAACATCAGTTCCAATTCCTTCTTCATAACAATCTCCTAAATTATATATTCCCATTGAATTTCCTAATTCTGCTAACTTTTGATATAATTCAAATGCCTTTTTCTTGTCAATATCAGTTCCAATTCCATTTTTATAACAATACCCTAAATCATTTATTCCAAATGGATTTCCTAAGTCTGCTGCCTTTTGATATAATTCAAATGCTTTATGCTCACTAACATTAACACCAATTCCTAAATCATTAAATTTTCCAAGTAAATAAATAGAATTTGAGTTATTTTGATTATTTAATAATAAATTATTAATCTCTTGCAAAGTTATATTTTGTTCATTAAGATAATTTAAGACCTTTTGCTTTGCTACTTCATCATCATCATAAAAAAAATTGAACATATTATTAACTATTATATCAAAGTTATCCTCAAATTTGTTAATTGATGATATTGAAGATTCAATATCTTTTGTAGTATTCAT